TCCTCTGGCTTTTGTTTACACAGGTAGGTTTAGACCTGCCTCAGCAATGGTGGACGCCCTTCCTCCCACCAAGCTCAAGTGTCCCAGGTTGAGCTTGAACTGATGTGCTGGCTGTGAAATTCTCAAGCAAGAGACCTTCAATTTTCTGGTTTTTGTGGGGGTGGAACCCACTGAGTCATATCACCTCTCTCCCTGCTTTCAGCTCCCCTCTTTCTGGGGAGTGGGCAGCTCCATCCTGCAGGCACTCTCGGTGATAGTCAAAACATCTACCCACATCTGTGCTGAGAACCCACAGCACCAGCCGGAGCTGCCATGCAGCTCTGTGCTAATAACTCGAGCCACTTTTCAGCCCAGCAGGGATCTCCTGGTCTCGGTTGGAAATGCAGGGATCACTCACCTTCTGCATCTCTCAGTGGAAACTGTGCTCCAGAGCTGTTCCTATTCGGCCATCTTGGTAGAATCCTCTCCTATTTGCATTTTCTATCCAGTATGTCTTTAATTTTATTAACTTCATGCTGTTTGTTTCCATTGTTGCCAGTTCTTAATTATAATGAGCGCCTGGTCTATACAAAGGAATTAACATTTCCCTGTGAAATGAACAGGCTAAATTATTAATAACCTCCCTACATTTTTGCAGGGAGCTCTTGACCTCTAGCAAAGATTTTTTTTTTAACTTTTATTTGAGGTTTGGGGATACCTGTGCAGGCTTGTTACATAGGTAAACAGGTGTCATGAGGGTTTGGTGTACATATTCTTTTATCACCCAGGTATTAAGCTCAATACCCAATAGTTATCTTTTCTTCTTGCAATAATTTTCAAAGGGTCTCTTTGACTTTCTTTTTGAATTTTGTATAGTATATGGACTTCAGTTATTTCATGATAATTGAGGTTTTCCAACATTTCACAATCTATGTTGACAGGAAACATCTATGCTTTTCAGTATGTGTGCTTTTGAGCCTAAGTCGGAGATATTTTAATTAAAAAATACTTTTTTGTACATATTTATTAAATCTCAGCCAAAATCAATTGATAAATTAGGTGAATACTGGCATTCCCTCATTCACCAAACTAGGGTCCAGAGGGAAGTTCACAAACACCAGCAACCCCTCAGTGAGTCACTATGATTAGGCTTCTAAGCAACATTAGAACTCCTTATTTCAAAGAAAATTGAAATGGTGCTTGATCCTGTGGACATTTTCCACATAGCAGCATGTGGATAATGACAAAAATATAGAGTTTCTTATATTTCCTGGATATATACCACTCACTAGTTATGTGACCTTGCATAAATTACTTATCTATGCCTCAATTTCTTCATCAGGGAATAACAACAGTAACCACTTCACAGGATTATTTTAAGGAGTAGAGGGGCTTATATTTGTTAATGTGTGGAATAGTTACTGGTGCATATTAGTCACTATTTTAAGTGTTTGTTAAATACAAATGTCAGTCAATCAATCTGACTCCATGCAGCATGAAACCACTTTTTCTAATAAAAATTTGTTTCTATAATAAATGTTTATTTATCCTCTTATGATATAAGCTCATTCTGATTTTAAATGTTCTTGTGTAGAACTCAATAAATATTATTTGATCATCTACTTCATCTCTGAAAGGTCTAGTCTGTTGCCAATAATAGTGTCACTTACACTGACCACACTGAGCCACTTTATATGTCACCTCATTTAATCTGCATTAAGAACCTTATGAAGATTGGTGTTACCCTTATTACAGATGAAAAACCTCAAGTTTCAAGAAGTTAGATAATTTGCACAGGTTTACAGAGTTTAAAAGTAGCAGAGGTGAATTTGGAATCAACCTCTGGTGATCTCCAAAGCCTGTTTGAATCAGTCCATTACTACAGATAAAGTGCTATATAGATAATGTCACAACTTTTCAAAACTAGAACTTTGCCCCATTCAGTAATTTTTAACCTACTCCAAGAATCTCAGAAATATAAGTAAAAGTGGAATCTTTAGAGCCTGTGAGTGGGATTTCTCTCCTTCCCCATACTCCATAAGCTTACGTGTATGATTGATTCCCACAAACAACTGATGTTTACTGGTGGGAGTGAGGACCACATACCTAACGGGCTCTAGAGGGTGCCTGGAACTGTGCCAGAAATTACCTTTTGTATCTCTCCCATACACTTCTGTAAAATGCTGGTACAAGAAGTATTTAAGCCTCAGGAGATATTTTCTGCAGTAGTTGAACACCTCTGGAAAGTATAGCATATCCCATCCTTTTGGCCTAATGATTAGTTAGCTCTAACATAATATTCTCAGTGATAAATGTCCTATTAATCACGGGAAACACTGACTAACTCTGGGTTGATCTTTTTAATTGTGAAGCTCCAGTAAAATACTTCGACTCACTTGGTTTGGCTCAATTGCTAATGAGGAAGTCTGGGTTTTATAAATTTCCTGACACACATCAGTCACTGCAAAATCCTGATGTCAGTCTGTCCTGCATCCTCTGATGGATCCCTGAGGTGCTTTCCTTCAGGGCCTACCAATGACCCACTTCTAATAGAAAAATGAACAGAAGCCACTTCTTTTTTTTTTTTCTGAAACCATTTCTGGGTAACAACTGATGGAAAATTTTGCTCTTCATTGCTCAGATAAGTAACTAAAGTTCTTTAAGAATCACTGGCTGCCATTGATCTCTATTTTAGTAAAGGATGATAAAGGCAGAGATTTGTTTGAATTTAAAGATTAAATTTTGGAATTCTATAACCCTAGACACTTAATGTCAAAAGAACAACTACAAAGAAGCCTGTAGAAGCATTCACACAGCTTGGGAAAAATGGGAGTGTGGCATTGCTTCAGAAAATCAGTGGTTCACATTGCTACCAGAGATGTTCACAAGCAGAGCTTGTAGTTGGCAGATGCTGGGCACAGAAGCAGCTGCTCATCTATCATCACCTTTTTTAGAAGAGAGACCACACATACAGCATGGCATTTATTATCCTGGTCAGCGATCTAGCCAAAATATCTAATCTGGTTTACAGCTAGGAAATAACAGTTCATTGAGATAGAGTGAAGATATGTTAAAAGTCACACAGCAACTGGGTATGGTGGCTCATGCCTGTAATCCCAGCACTTTGAGAGGCTGAGGCAGGCAGATCACAAGGTCAAGAGATCAAGACCATCCTGGCCAACATGGTGAAATCTCGGTTCTACTAAAAAATACAAAAATTAGCTGGGCATGGTGGTACGCACCTGTAGTCCCAGCTAATCGGGAGGCTGAGGCAGGAGAATCACTTGAACCCAGGAGGCAGAGGTTGCTGTGAGCTGAGATCATGCCACTGCACTCCAGCCTGGAGACAGAGCTAGGCTCCATCTTAAAAAAAAAATGTTACACAGCAAGAGCAGGTCAAAGAAGTGAAGGAGATTATCATATTCATGGTATTCCAAAAATTAATCTCTACAACTACATCAGCTAATACTGGAAGCCCCCCCATTGACATTTCCAAATATAATATATGTCACAAACTAATAAAAACCATTTATAATTTATAAAGAAAGCATCTTGTCATTTACAGACTCTTTAAACTTAAAACCACACTATTATCTTTAATGTTGACATGCCTATGACATGCCTAGAAACAATTCTGTAACGATACTAACTTTACAGTAGTCTCTACTGACTTTAGCTAACTAAAATAAACACATAAGGAAAAATAAACATGTAGGGAAAAACAAAATGTTCACAGTAGGATTTGAAAGAACATTTTGGGAGCTATGAAAATATAGCTCCTATTCCAAATATAATTTATTACAAAGGTACAAAACTAAAAGTAGCTCAAAAAAAAGGATGCAATGAGCAAAACCTTGTTAAAATAATCAAGGTTAGAGAAACAATGCTGACATTATTGTGCAGTTATTCTCAGATTTCCAATTTTCTAGTCACCTTGGTTTGGTTTATTTAGCACCTCTTGGTCTCTCATAAGATCTTGTTGACACATTTATCTAATCAAATCTTTTTTATAGGTCAACATTACTGAGCCCTGTTAGGCGCCAGGAACATAAATCTTTGCTAGCTAGAGAGACTAGGTATGTAAGAAAAAGGAATGACAACACAATAATACATGCTAATTATGGGCAATGAACTGAATGTACCTGTATTATCTAACAGACTAAACCAAGGGGACTTTCAGACCAGACAGGTTACTTCACACCCAGCCCTCATCATTAATAATTTTTAATGTGAGGATAGCAAATAAATTGTCAAATCAGTAATCCTGAAAGAGTTCAGAAGATCAGATGACTAGGAAGGTTCAGTAAGGAGTTCACAGTTATTAGACTTAAAGAGTGCCTTTCAGAAAGGTTACGACTTAAATATACAAATAACTAATTCTTATTTTATGATTTAAAAGCAATATTTTTACATATTTTCATAAATAGGTGGGGATATTTGGAGCAGAGTTCTCACACACACAAAAAAAAACATGACTAGGAAGGAATCAACACAGTGAACTCTTGAACAGATTAAGTCACTTTAGGACCTGAATCCTGAGACATCTGCAACAGGGCTAAACCCATTTTTTCTAAACTTTGTTTTGCACTACAATTTTTTAAACATTTTTCAAAATGCCTTATTCAACGTGCTTTTTCCCCATTGATTAAAAAATTAATAAATGACATCTGGTTCATTAGGAAGTTGGTGACAGAGATTTCTTGCTTCAGAAACGCTGGAAGCCGCTAGTTTAAAAGCATCCGGAACAGAGGGGTCTACTTGATTTCTCTCTCCTGGCTGTGTCATTTTAGTCAAAGAAAGAGATAGAATGCCGTGTATGCCTTGAAGACTCAACAGAGTAGAAAACACTTGCTATTATTTCTTTATTTTATTTTGAAGTGAGCTTTTATACAAACACACAAAACCATATATTTAAGAGTAAAACGCTGAGCAGTGAAAAGAAGCCCAGAGTGTCAGCCACTCCTCGTCTCCGCCAGAGCGTGACCGTCACGCCCTCTGCCACTCACAGAGAAGCGCCCAGGGGCATCATGGGACTCGGCGGCGGCAGGGATTGTGGGAAATGTAGTTTAACGACTCCTCCTCGCCATTCCTGTAATGGCTGCTTCCTGGAAGGTAATGTACAAACTCGTTTCCAGAGGATACTTAGATTGCACCAGTGTATTTGCAAAACAGGGGAAGCTTCGCACCTTGCCGGGCCAAAGTTGGGATTCTTTTTCAGCTCTTAATATGAAGTTCTGAAATGAACTTATCTCTCCGTTCTGTTTCTTTTTACGTTTTCTTGTGTGGGTGAACTGACCAACTTTTTAGTTCCCTGTTGGACAGACTGTTTTCTCTCCTCAGTACCTATCTCTCTACCGTCCATATAGCCTTCCTGCTCTTCGTTGAGTCTAGCTGCCTCTTTAAAATAATAATAGTAATAATAATTTTTAAATCCTTCTCTCCTCCCCCACCCCCCACTCTAATCATAGGTAGTGTCACGTGGAACCTCTTAATCTCAGCATCCGGAGCTCCAGGAAGGGAAAATTTCAAGTCAGATAGAATTCTATATATACCATTTCTTTGGTAAGTCTTATTAATTCCCCACAACTTCTCAGAGTTAGATGTTATGTGACTTTGGCCAGATTTGTCTGCATTTCCTGGATGGGAGAGACCCTAAGAAAATGTAATTTTTACCCACTAGGATATTTTAAGTTTCCAAGTTAGTGTCTCGTGCATTTTTTCTGTTTGTTCTTAATTAAAAACTTGAACTCCTGTTCAGTATTTTTTTATTGATGCACAAGGTGTTGGCATTATCGTGGAAAATTGCTAGGTTTAGAGTGTTAGTGTGAGATAGAGAGATAAGCCTCAAATTACTGTCTTTAACATCCCTCTGTTTTTCCACCTATAAAATGAGGAGATGGATCTGAAATGATTTATAAAGTATCCAAAAGATTGGCTAGCCTGTTATTTGTCATATGTTCATATTGTCATTTGAAAAGGAAGGAATTTTTAATGGTTCCTTTTTGTTTCCATGTTTAATTTCTAGGAACCTTCAGCCCTCAAGATTCCAACATCATGACCTCAGTTTCAACACAGTTGTCCTTAGTCCTCATGTCACTGCTTTTGGTGCTGCCTGTTGTCGAAGCAGTAGAAGCTGGTGATGCAATCGCCCTCTTGTTAGGTGTGGTTCTCAGCATTACAGGCATTTGTGCCTGCTTGGGGGTATATGCAAGAAAAAGAAATGGACAGATGTGACTTTGAAAGGCCTACTGAATCAGACTTCACCCTTTTCAGACTTTGTGCAATAGAGGCTAAACCTGAACTTTGGCGTCTGAAAGTTTCCAAGAATCAGTAAATAAGGGAGTTTTACATTTTTTTTGTTGTTTCAATGAAATGAACGGGAACAAACATACATATATAAATTGGGGAAAAAAGTTTTCTTTGCAACAAATAATGTGTAGAAAAATGCAGCCTATAATTTGTATTTGCTACTTAGAAAAGAGGTCAAAGAAGTAAGATGGCTGAAATTTACATAAGTAATATTTCATAGTTTTCTAATTCTCAAAGCATGTGAAATAGGAAGAAGGAAGTTCTTGCCCAGAATCTTAGGAAATCACCCCTGTGCGGTTATAATCACTGCCTCCTGAATCATTGAAGAGTCTTTTCTCCATCTTTTTATTAGATTTTTGTTTTGTTGTCTTTCAAGTTAATATTGTATTTAGATATAAGAGAGTCAACTAAAAAGGGAAACTTTTATCTCTGGGGAAAAAAACGTTTAGAAAAATGTATTCAGTGTATCTAATGAAATGTAGAAAAAAATTAATGTTAAAAGAACACTATAGACATTGACATGGAAAAGAGATTTGTTAAGAAAAAACTTTATATTAACTGAGTAACATCCTCTGGATGAGAAGTGCTATATTAAATATAAACCCATTATGTTGTAAGTTGTGTTGTGTCCATTTCTTATTTGGGGCTGTTTTTATCCATTGTGGATTTTTATATACACTAACTGGAGAAGGGCAGGATACCTTGTGTTGTTACTGCAGTAGCTTAAAGAGGCATAATCAATGACAAATAAGAATTGGGCAGCATTGAGGTCAGAGAAGCCCCTGATAGAAAATCTAGATATACAGAAGGAAAATGAAATGGCCTAAACTGATTTGCATGCCAGCCAAATGAAATACCCACTCTGGCCTAGCTACTTAAAATGTCCTCAAGCCAGCAACATCACCTAGGACTTGTTAGAAATGTAGAATTTCAGGCCCCACCCAGACGAGTTGGATCAGAAGCAGCATTGGTTTCCAAACCCCAAGTTAATTTGTGTGCACATTACAGTTTTAAAAAGACTTCCAACTTGCTTGAACCCAAGAATCATTTCAGGCACTTGATAAAACTTTTAGATTCCCTGGTCTTTCTCCTGGTTGTATGGCTGTGGGATGGGGCCTGGAACTCCATGTTTAACAAGGGTCCTCAGTGATTCATTTGATTCTCAAGTTGTAGCCAGCATAAAATAGTCTAAGGAAATCAAACTTTAGGGTCACACTAGAAGTAAGTAGGCAAATTTTTTCCTAAAATGCATGTTCCAATTTCTAGCTCACTCTCCAGATCATATTGGGAGCTTCAATTTTTATCCAAAAATAGGCACCAGCAACCTAAAATTCTGTTTATGGTGCAATTCTAGTGTGAGCTGACCTGGCTTGCATGAAAGTTTTGGTTAAAGGGTACAAGGAGTGAGGGAAGATTATGTAATAAAGACATGGAACTGTTTCATTTTTTTGCTAGAAGAAGCACTAACATTCTTTATTCAAATTAATTGGCAGTTAAATATTATGGAATTAATAGAGCTTGATTGTACATGCATTTTGTTTGTTTGTTTTAAAGAAGGAAAAAGGAATGATGCAAGTTGTAGAACAGTTGTCATCTTATACACCAGCCCATTGGTGCTTACATAGAAAGGCTGCTGCTGCTTCCTTGCACGTCAACTTTCCCATTGGGATGGGAGAAATCAAACTTAAAGTACATTTTAAATCACAGTGCAGTAGTCATTTAGTCACCTCCAGGTACTATTTTTAAAGTGTTCAAAATAAGACTACAGACAAACATTCTTTAGTCAACGTGTATTTCTAAAAGTACCTTGGAGAGGCATTTCCCTATTTTCCCCTTAAAAGTAGAGAATTCTCTTGAGGAATTTTGATGGATATGATGGGGAACACCTCCTCTAAAAATAGCCTCATTTCTCATCTATTTAATTTGGATTATATGGCTTTGCCTGAAAAGAACAGAATCCTTATGGTGGCTCTTAACCTTTTTAGGCCACCAGTTCCTTTTGAGAATTTGATGAAAGCTATCATCTTTTTCCCTAGGAAAATTCCCATGCATGCTGACATTTTTAGATTAGTCACAGAGCTGAAGCCTATCCAGGATCTTTCCAATTCTAAAATTCCTTGATTTTCTATGAGGGATAACACCTGCTATGGAGCAGTTATGGCAAAAATGGGATTAACAAATGTTCTGGTTAGCACAATTTGTAGATATCTAGTAAATGCACTGTACGTGTTAGCTCAACCGAGTTAAAAATAGTTGAAATCAAGTGAAGAATTTAAGGTCCTTGCCAATACTTATATTTCTATTTTCCGTAGTTTGAATGTAACTAGCCTATTTCCCTAATGCTAAAAATCAGTACATTTCCTGCATCATTTCTGTCTTAACTGCTTTCATAACTCTCCTTGTCATTAGTTTTTAGAAGATTGATTGTGATGTATCTTGGCATGGATATCTTTGGGTTTATCCTTGCTCAGTATTTGAGACTCACAGTTTTATGCTTTTTCCCAAATTTAGGAAATTTTCAGCCATTATTTCTTTTTAAAAATTTTAGCTCCACCCTCATTCTCCTTTTCTTCTAGGACTCCAGCAACCCAAGGTTAGACCTTTTGTTATAGCATGATGCATACCTAAAGCTCTATTTATTTTTTTCAGTCTTTTCTTCTCTTGTTTACGTTGGGTAATTTCTAGTGTTCTATCCTTAAATTAACTGTTTCTGCTGTTGTATTTTTAGTTCAAGACTTTCCATTTTGCTCTTTGTATCTTTTTGTTTCTTTGTGGAGACCTGTTTTTTCATTTGTCCCAGGCATGTTTCTGATTGCTCACTGAAGCACCTTTTGATGGCTGCTTAAATCCTTGATAATCCTAACATCTCTGTCACCTCGGTGTTCAGCATCTGTTGATTATCTTCTCATTCAAGTTGAGATCTTCCTGGTTCTTAGTATGACGAATGATTGTCTATTGATATCTGGACACTTGGGGTATTATATTTAAAAGGCTGTGGCTCTTATTTAAATCTTTTATTTTAGCAGGCCCCCTCTGACACCACTCTTTCATCAGAAGGGAGGATGCCTCCTTCTTCCTGCCAGATGCAGGTGGAAGCCTCATGACTGCTCCCCACATTCTCTTCACTGACACTGGGGATAGCTTGCTTTGTTACCACCAGGTGGGGATGGAGTCCAGGCCCTCCAGATGGTCTCCATGGGTCCCAGGGTAGAAGAGGGAGGTTCTTACTATCAACTGGTGAGGATGAAAGTGTCAGCTCCCCACCCAGCCTTCTGTGACACCACCTCAGTGGGGAGCCTGGAACATCTACAGCTGGTGAAGGTGGAGGTCTTGGCACTCTACTCAGCCTTTGCTGATAGTGGAAGTGGGGCTACAGTTCTTTCTGTGGTATTTAAAAGTTTTCAGGTCTTCTGTTTCACTAAGCTGCACCTTTCCTATTCCATAAATACTAGAGAGAATGTCTTGTTTGTTTTTTTTCCCCATTTTTTGTTTTTTTAAGTCTAAGGCCATTGACATTTCTGGGTTACTAGTTTCTCCAGTACTCAATCTGAAACAGAAGGAAAAAAAAATCCAGCAAACTCACCACTTTGTTGTTCATTTGGTCTTGAGGTACCCAGCTGTTGTACCTTCTTTCTGCCTTTTGGAATCATGTTTGTTTTATACATAATGTCCAGAGTTTTTAGCTGTATTTAGTGGGAGGAATAGGAAAAAAGATGTCTATTCCATCTTCCTGGAATTATAAGTCCTCTTGGTGCATATTTAAAGAGTGAATTTTCTGAGATACTCCAGAGATGGAGAGATAAAACACCAGGAAAATGATTACTTCAAGGTATTTTACTCACAGACTTCTGTCCCATCCATCCAGCATGTTGTTTATTCCTATCTTGACCCAATAACTCTCAACTAGGGAGTGAAACTAACCAAGAAATACAGGGATGTAGATGAAGTTTGAGAAAATGGGCTGTATTCATATTTTGTCTCAGCATTGAGACTGCAAGTGGCACCTTCTTGAAAAACTGATATGATACCAATTGTGCCGACTAACCAGGTCCAGGAAATCTCAGATACTATACCTCACATGCACCTGTTTCCTGCTGGGCTTTCTAGCTCTGCAAAAGCTTATCAAATTACATTTCCAACCTTGGATATAGGAATGGTAATGCAGCTATATAGCCTGCAGCACATAATGAATGAAGGAGAATTTTCTGCTTATGACCCATTTTCCAACCAGGGGCTCTCATTTCAGTCTCTTCAGTGGTACTATAATAGAGGCTAAGGGTCCAAGATATGGAATTTAACAGCCTTCCAACAATTTAAATGTGATATTGGGCAAGTCATTCAATTTCTTTTAAATTTCTATTTCCCTGTCTGTTAATTGGGTATAATAATAGTATTTCTCCACTCTACCTTCTAGGTAGATGAGAAATATCTAAGGTAGTATATGTGGAAGGGTTGGCTTGCTGTATGTTATTATTAGTAGTACTATTTAGAGATATTTCCTAAACAGAAGGGGGAAAAAACTTTGCAAGCATTAATTTTTGAATTTATAAAGTGTACATCTTAAAAGTTACATGAACAAATCCTATATCAAACTTTAATTTTAATTTTGACATTTTCCTAAGTGCTAACAGGCCCCTGAAGATGATATTCAGTCTTTGTTTTTTATTACAGTCCCTCCCAGCATGCAAATTATAGCTTAGAAATTGATAAAGCTCAAAGACATCTGTGAAGAAAAGAAAATTCGACTACCCTAAAATTTTCATAAATCTTCTTGTTTGTACCTCATGCTCTTGAAGGGGGAAAAAAGGAAAGAAAATAATTGATTATCTTTTAATGATTCTTACTGTGTTAGCCATGGGTTTCTTCCTAAGTAGCATAACAAAAGCTTAGCAGCAACTGCCCAAATCATTTAAGGAGATGCAAGGCATTTTGGTTTTGCCTATTCAAGAAAATAGATCTGGTCCCTATTCCAACCAAGAAAAATAGTGACAAATCTCATCCCATTAGACATCATTAAATTATAAACTACATATAATGTGTTTTATGTTTGTTTCCTGTGGTGGAGAGTAAAGAGGAAGCACCTATCTTGATTTACTAACCCCACACATGATTTTCCCATGTGGTGAAAATAGGGCCAAATCAATAAATGTTTGCAGAATAACATGTTTAATTTTTTAAGTAACTTTATTTTTGTAAATACTTTCTGTAACTGAATAATATACATATAACATCTAAATACAAAATGTAGAAGACCGGAGGACTCAAGATGGCGCTGTGAGAACAACCCAGGATTGGAGTTCTCATTGTGTCTGCGGAGAGGTGAGTCTGAGCTGCATTTCTAGACTGATCTTTGTTGCCCACGGAACGGGGAAATTCCCAAGTGAAGAGGAGACGCGGGACGCCAGGCAGATATTCCGCCTGGCGAAGCCGGCAGCCGGGGTGGCGGCTGCCGGCCCTACCCAGCGCTCCCCACAGGGCGCGCTTGTCTGGGTGCCCCGTTGAACCGGCCACCGGAGACGTGAGAGGGCTGGACTTGAGACTGAGCAAGACTTGGACAGTGGGCCAGCCCAGGGCATTGCAGGAACAGAGAGTTAGGGTTGGCCCAGTGGGACGAACA